TATGTTTTGAATAACATGTTGAGTATATTTTTCACTTATTATATATTTTTTAACGTATTATACATGTAACTTAACATATTATATATATATATATAAGATTCTTCATTGAAATATAAGGTTCGACCATTTGGTTCGAATAGACAACCCATTTTGACAACAAAAATTATAAGTAAAAAATTACAGAAGCATTATGGCCACTGGTTTTCAGGTAGATGGTTTGACCGTCCGGTTTGAACGGACGGCCCATTCTGACAACAAAAGTTACAAGTAAAAAATTGAGTGTGTGAGGTCCATTAAGCAGCATCGTACATGTTATGTCACTCGAGCGTGTGACTCATAAGACCCGAAAACGGAACCGTTTTGGCCACCAGTTTTCGGGTCGATGGTTCGATCATCCGAGTTCAAACAGACGGCTCGTTATGGCAACAAAAATTAAAAAAATAAAAAAACAACCAAAAACCATTGGACGGGTCAACGGATCGACTACCCGGGCCAATGGGTCGTTGACCGATTCAATGGTTTTTTGCTAGGGACCGAGATTGGGATAAAGTGGAGCTGGTTGCCTTGATGTTCCTGATTAAAAAAAATAAAAAAAAAATGGCAAAAAACCATTGAACAGGTTGACGGTTTGATTACATGGGTCAATGGTCATTGACCAATTTAACGGTTTTTTGCCAGGGACCAGGATTGAGGTAAAATGGAACCGGTTGCCTGGACAGTTCCCAGGTCGAAATGTTCGTTCGTCCGGGTCAACGACGTTTCAAAAGCCATGGTTTTTATGCTTTTGGATTTTCACTATTCATTGGTTTCTTCTATTGTGGGCTTTATTCGAGCGTGTGTGGTACATTCCTTTTTTTTATTTTGTATTTGGTCTTCTTCTTCAAGATCTTCCAAAACAGTCTAGGGTTTACCACCATTTTATTTATTCCCTTTTGTTTTTTCTTTGGGTTTTCTTGCGCATTGTTTTTTTTCTTACAAGACGATCTGCTTTGTTTATTTCTTTGATTGCATGTATGTTTAGTTTTGTCTCAAAGTGGAACTTTGGACTTGATTTTCTGATTTTTTTCCTTGGTTTTTCCAATTTGGTGGATTTACAATCAATTTTTTATGTGTTTAAGGTCACTTTGGATTTATCTTTCAAGGTTTTGGAATCCCCTGCAGTGTCCATCCTTCCCATGACTATGACTATAAAGTTATTTTGTCTAATTATTGACATCAAGAAAAATCGACCTAGAAACGAAACCATTCTGGCCACTGGTTCCTAGGTCGATAGTTCGTCCATACAGTTCGAACAGATGGCCCATTCTAACAACAAAAAATAAAAAATGGCCAAAAACTGTTGAACAGGTCATCAAGTTGACGGTTCAAACGCCCGGGTCAATGGGTCGTTGATTGATTCAACGATTTTTGGCTAGGGACCAGGTTTGGGGTAAATGGAACTGGTTGCTTGGACGGTTCTTGGGGCGAACGGTCCTACCATCCGGGTCATCTTGGAGTTCTCGATGTAAAACAAAGGACAACTATGAAGTAGAACTCAGAACTATCACTATATGATCGTGTTCTTTTATATGAGATGTTTTGCTGAAGTAATATTTAAAAAACGAGCATATGATTATCTCTTTTAAGTCTTTATATGAGTTTCAAGACTTGAGTACTTATAATTGCAAGTTTTTTATTAAGAAACCATTGTCCTTTTTAATGTAGCCAATGTTACAATTTCATCCCAGCCCCTTTGATGCAGCGGCCCCTCTGCTAGTTTTTACTTATTATATATTTTTTAACATATTATACATGTAATATTTTTATGTATGTATAATTTCTATAAATTGCCAAGGCAAGGGCTTAGTGGTAAATGACAATTATAGTATAGATAAGCCCTTTTTTTGCTTTCCAATAGCGAAACAATATTGGATAGAAAAGGGCTTATTTTGAATTTAAAGCAGGTGCAAAGAGCATTCTCCAAAACACTTAAAAAAAAACTTGTTCAGAAGCTGCTTCTCTCGATGTTCATTTAGTTGAAAAGGCACTCCCAAATGCAGCCCTGCACCTAGTTTAATAGACCGCTATCATGTTTTGAATAACATATTGAGTATTTTTTCACTTATTATATATTTTTTAGGGTAAATTACAAAGACCCCCTATACTATGGGGTTTGTGACAAAGAACCCCCCTGTACTTTGTTTTGTGACAAAGACCCCCCTGTACTATGACCATGAGACAAAGACCCCCTTCCATTAGCCTTTTGTTCAAAATGGCCGTTGTAATATTTTTTAATCTCCATACCACCCTTGTAATAACTATTCCAAGGAGAAAATACTGTTCATCTTCCCCAACCTTCCTTTACATCTCTCTCTCTCTCTCTCCCGATCTCTCTTCTTCCCCTACCCCTTAACAACGTCGGGATTGAACCCATTTTCATGAGTTTGGTGCGATTGCTCTTAATGAGTGAGAGGTGAAGGGGAAGAGGATCGTTGCATTTCACCTACCATTTCGGTATGTTGCATTTCATAATGGGTTATTCTTCTGTAACCACTTGTTCTTTCTCCTTCAACTACTGCTTTCCACTTGCCTTGAAAAGCCATCTCTCATTTTCAAGATTTCAACTCAACCTATCAATCATTTTATTGAACCGAATGAACATTTCTTTTAATAGAGAGGAGGGAAGGGGGACGATGTAGCATATTGTGATTGGCCCAGTATCCTCAGGGACCCCATGTAGTAGACTGACGTGGGATAACATTTTTGGAACAGTATAGAGGAGGAATGGGAGTGCTTAATTGGAGGCGATGGCGTGTTTCGGTTGCAGAAAAAAGCAGTATTGATTTGTGTTCTTGTGGGAAACTGATGGAAGATTGGAAGTATTAGGCTATTAGCTACAGAGGGAGCGATGATGGACAGATAAGCACACCCATGTTTTTCTCATATACATGAATACAACTTCTCGGTGATATGGCCGCCCAATCCCTTCCATGGAAGTTGGATTGCTATAACCTACGGCCTTTAACGCACTTGAACCCTGCCCATCCTCCTGAACAAGCTCTGAAGCCACTGTCATTCCAGCATTGTAAGATTCCTAGAGGATCCACTAATTTGCGTTTGAATGCTTGAAGAGCTTGAAAATCAGCTTGAGTGACGATTGCTCAATACCGAATGGCAAGTGAAAAGCAGTTGTTGAAGGAGCAAGAACAAGTGGTTACAGAGGAAGAACCCGTTATGAAATGCAATATGCCGAAATGGCACGTGAAATGCAACGGTCCTCTTCACCTTCACCTCTCACTTGTTCAGAGCAATCGCACCAAACTCGTGAAAATGGGTTCAATCCCGACATTGTTAAGGGGAAGGGGAAGAAGAGAGATCGGGGGGAAAG